AAAGCGCTAGAACAACTAGATAAGTTAAATAAAGAGGTTTATTCTATTTTATTCTATTTATTTYTATCTCTCTAAGCCCGACAGTACGATCGTTGCCAATGATACCACTATCTATAACATATGGCACTTGACTAGTGAAATTAATGATCATCTTAGCACAGCAGCAACTTACTTTTTGTTTTCGAGGGGCATATATAATTTAGTTAACTGAGAGGTTAGTAGCTATGTTACCCTCGTAAAATAAAGATTTAAATAAAAACAGGGCTCCATTGTGTACATCTTATGTATCGTTGACATCATTCGCATCAAATTTGATACTTTTGTCTACCGATGTTGACCGTGGTTTGTTGGTGGTTTAACGTCGTTGTTTTTTTCCTTCTGCGTGCTGCAAAGTCCACTCCCCCCTGTTTTTGCCTCAAAATCGGAATGGTTAATATGTCATTGTCGTTCAACTAGCGGCTTAATGCACTGTGTAAACGGAAACGAAGCTCTTAGAATATTTAATGAACCTGAGGTGAGATTCCAACCTTGTTGACTAGTTTATTGAGTGCGATTTGCGTCTAAAAAAAGAAATGACTGAATTGTTTCTTATTTTTTGCACTCGCGTTTTTTTCAGTTTTATTGTAAATATTTGCTTCAACGCCAGTAAAAAAWGTTATTGGACGAGGTTCAAAATTCTTATGAATAGATAATTTGTGGTTGTAGTATGGCAAAAAAATGACTGATTATATTTTCATTTCGTTATACCATTTACGGTATACCTTTCACATTTTTCYGTTAACGTAACTTACGCTTTTTCCCGAACTCACTATTGAGCGACCGTTGATCATGAAGCGCCAGTAGTTTGACTGAACACAAGCTGTTTGGTGATTGGTTGGAAAATGTATGATTCATTTACAAGCGCGTTAGTCGAGACAAATAAATAGTAATATGTTAGTAATGTGTGGTAAGTCGGCAACGACAGGGAGCGAACTAACCGTTTTATAAGAAATCGATCACTCTATACTATTAGTAGGCACCAGACCGATATGAAGTCACTAGCATTATAGCRTCATTTACTACCACTTCCAGACTCCCTTGCGCACATTCTTTTGTTCAGTTAATTAGCACCAACTGTCTTACTATTCTCATGAAGAAATACAAATTTGAATAAGAAAGAAAATTCGCAAAGCATTTTGGTCGTGGTAGTAAACTGTTACAGACCTACTTCATTAACCAAGGCCACCCAAACAAATTTTGAATTAAATACACAAATCATGTTTTTTTGACTCTGAATAATATAATGAAGAATATCGCGGAGTTTTAACTGTTTCTCGTTCACTCCTGATCATACACACACACACGTATAAAGTAAAATATATGACTTTAAAGAGAAAAATGTGATATTGGGTGTTAGCTTGCCTTTGCTAAACTAACTACTATCTAAGCAGTTTAGAAAACTAGGTTTATAAATCCTAAAGTGATGACGGCAATAGTGAAYTTCCAGTGATGGGAGTATATTTACATATCATACATGATAGACCTACCGGCACTGGCAAGACTGTATGTTATTAAGTTATTTACTCCAAGATAATGACAAGTCAGTAGTTTTCCGGTCTTTAATTCATTGGYATTGTGAGATTAGACGATCCATTAATTCCGCATCGCCGATAGGAATCTTGTGATTATCAGGCTATCAGTAGATAGCAGGTCGTCAGACATGTATGACTCGACTCAACTGCAAAAAGTCGTTTAAAGACATTTCAATCAAAAATAATATAGACTGAAAGCGATTGGGATGAAAGAAAAGAAATGAGAAGATAACAATTATGACAAAATAGAAGGTTTTAGAAACAAACAAAAGAAAATAGCAAAACAAAAGGAAATGTTGAGTTTCTAGTTTGACAAAAACAAGATATCCTGCATGCATGTAGAAATAGGATAAAAGTAAAATGTTTACAAATAAAGGAAGAGAGAGAGAGAGAAAGAGAGAGACATTTTCATTGGAAATATATAAATATTGTGGGGGAAAAAAGCGACTTTAAAGARGGTATTTCAATACATGTGGACTTCAGAACTCGGAGTAGAATAAATAGCGTGCTTACGGTGTCTGTTAACRCTTACTAAGCCGGGTACATTGCGATCAGCCTCGAAGATGGAAGGGAAAAAACACGCATAAGCGGAAAGAACAAAAAAGAGTGCACTAAGCATAATTCACACACATTCAATACTAAAGATTCCTGTAATGTGGGAARCGAAAGAAATGCAAACACTGTACATTGAATTACTTCCTGTATCAAGTAATTGTATTCAATCATACAATACGACAAATCTTTCTACGGTACGACTCAGTGTAATTTGTTCCAGAATCTAAACCTATTCATCTAAGATATAAAACGTTCAATAGAAAAAWTTAATCATCATTTTTGCCGGTTTATGAGAATTATTTTTCTCTTTGTTAAGACCTCAATCAAGAAATTTTGTTCACTAMACGAAGTAAATTTTAATCCATTCTCATCCAACTCCGAACATGTTTTATTTCATTTARACCTTGTTCTATAGGCCATTCTTTGGTTTTCGATTGAGATTTTCTAAATATATTCTTACAGTATATATAAGACACAAATAGCCCTTTATTACGATAAGTCACCACATTTAGCGAACTTGYTTTTCTCTGGTGTTTTATCCATTCCGAGAGCCGTTTTGTCGCAAAAAGTCGATCGATTTAATGAAGCGTTTAAATAATAATGCTTTTTTATCAAYGAATTAATTGATTTGAATCGGACAACTTTACATTGAACTCATCGCGTTTGATGATAGTGTCAAACCTATATCGATATTCCTTTGTCTTGATTGCAATACTCTGGAAACTTTGGCGTTGAATTGTGGCTTAATATGGAAGAGCACGTACTTAACTGTTTAGGAATCATATAACAGCAAATKGAGACCTTCAAAATGGGAACGTGTTCGAAACAGCAAACCAAATTACTAAATACAGAAGCTTACGTGGAGAATTAAACATGAACCTTTTTAGTCCAGCTGCGTAAAAGTGGTAGAAACATTTACAAGCTTTACAACAGACTTAACGCTTGAAAATGAAAAAGAGAAAAGGAAGAAGGAAAGAAAAAGGAATAAAAAAGGAAGTAAGAGGGGGGAAAAGCAAAAAAAGAAGAAAAAGGGAATGAGGAAGAAAGAAAGAAAAAAGAAAAAGAAAAGAAGGAAAGGTAAAGAAAAAAGAATAAACAAAAGATCGAACAAACGAGAATGAAAGAATATAAGGATGAAAGAGTGATGATAAAAGGTTAAATTTTACACYGTGAAAAGATGAAAAARCTGAAGTTTCGGACGTTTACTGACGTTTCGGACGCTAGTCCTTCGTCGAAGTAAAAGATGAAAGTAAAGATGAAAGTAAGGATGAATGGATGGATGAATAAATACAATAAATGAAAACGAAACTGAAGAATGAATGAATGAATGAATGAAAATAATGTTAACTGTTGTGATGATTTGTGCCTTTAGTTATATTTTAAGGATAGTTTTTCAAAGAAGTGTCTGATGAGTGTGATATAATTTTTTTTCAACATAAGCTTTAACTCTGCAATTTTAAAACAATCAATAACGAAAGATGACGCATTTTCCCAACGCTTAGCAGGAGGTGAGTCCATTCAAAAACTTGTGCCAATAAAATTTCTTTTCATAACTAGAAAATCACGCTGTTTTAAGCGGCTTTTTTACYATTGTCATTACTTGTGCTAAAAGAACGGCACTTTATTGTGAAAATTGTTACGACCCGCGCTGGGAACTCAACCCGTTCCAAACAGATGATATTGTTAAGAAATTATTTGACACGCAGTGATAAAAAAAGATTCTTCGTTCGGTTTCATTTCTTTATTACACTCCAAGAAAATGTGTTAATAGAACCGTATCAGTTTTTATTAAGCTAGAATAGAAAACTGAATCGAGAAAATTAGTTCAGCAAACTGAAAATTTAACCACAAGTAAATGTGAAAAAAGTGCTTAAGAAAAATGAATGACTTTTAATTGCAAAAGGAACTTAAATACTGGTCCTTTATGGCATACAAAAATAAATCTGCCCGATGAAAAGAATAGGGTTGTCAAGGCCTGAATGACTTCTGAAACTAAAATTGCGAATCCCGTTCTCATCAGTTGTTTTAGGCGTTTTTTTTTTGTTGTTGTTTTTGTTTTTTTTTGTTTTTTTGTTTTCTTTCTTTTTTTGTTTTTTTCTCTTTTCATTCGTAAAGGCCGTATTCGGGTTTCCATATATTCATAGTTTTTGTTTTTTTCTCTTTTCATTCGTAAAGGCCGTATTCGGGTTTCCATATATTCATAGTTTGGAAGGAACATTGAGACACATTCTTCCTAAAGATTGGTGCCTATTTGCTTGTGAATTTCAAATATAGCTTATTTATCTCTGGAAGGAAGTGTTCGTTTGGTTTATTCTATTCCATACAGTGCAACTAAGTCGTTAATGGCTAGTTATCACTAGTCCACATGTTAAGCTATCGGCACAAGTGAAAAAGTTTGACATTCCGATGTAAAAGCCATTAACAGATTTGAAAATAATTACTTTGGTCCTGCTAATGAAGGGCCCACAGTCTCTTTGGAAGTGGCGTCGTTTTGGAGTCCTGTTCAAAAGCAGATGTCTTGTGAAGTCTAGGAAATGACTGACTCAATTCACCACATTTCCATTAACTGTCTACAAAGTCGCTAAGAAATTCCTTTTTTTTTTAAATGAAAAAAAAGAGAAAAAAATTAGAAATATGGTCAATGAATTTAACTTTAAAAAGTCAGCTTCAGACATTACGGGCAGGGTAACTGAGRAATATTAGGTTATTGAATGGCGCTTGAGTATTTTATATCACGTTCGGTCGTTCCATGTCGTCGTTCAGTGGGCAGCTGCACTCAATTCACCTCTCACTATTCTGTACCATTGTTTGTACTGATAACAGTTGTGTGTAGTGTTTGATGACGTATGCGGTATAAGCGTTCCTAAAAGCATTTAAAAGCCTGATGATCAGTCCAAAACCGTGATACATGCACGGCAAGCCAAGCAGTGGAAAACCGTCGCTGAGTTTGACCGAAACATCCAGGAGAAAAACATTATTCCGCTGGAAGGGTAAATGAAATGTGCTCACTTCTTAATCGTTTTAGCTTTTAGTAATATTTCAAAGGCTGCTAATTTTTCTTCGTCAATTAACCATAAAAAGAAGTCAATGACTCCCGGGATTGGCAAAAAAGARCAACTTTTCTTACCGAAGTTGAAGATAAACACTAAACCGTAAAGCTATAAACACAAGGTCTTCTTGTGTTTATGTTAACGAATTTATTGTCAACGAACTAGTAGATGTAATAATATCAGCTGATATCAATAATTATATATTATAT